TACGAAAAACTAATACTGCTGATCCAATTAGGACGAAAATAATGAGCATGCTGTGAAAATACTTAATACCTATATTTACATGCACTCGTAATATACCGCAAAAAAAAAGTTATCGATATATGTAAGTAAATTATAAGTAAGTTACTTGAGAAACAAATATAAATGGTTCAGATTGAATAGTGTAGACAAAAACAGAAAACCAGTTGTTGTTGAAGGTTTACCATAACGCTAATTAATATACTAAGTGACATATAAATCCGAACACCCAGTTTAAATGGTTTTATTTTAATAAAATTTTGTATAAGTACTTAATGAAGCATAATAAGTAAATGATAAAAAATTCAAAATGATTGCACTGCTTTGATGCCCTTTGACCTTTAATAATGTGTGGATGCACCCTGATGTGCTACGCATTCTCCAACGCGCCTAGGCATGCTTCTGATCAGGTGGTCAATGTCCTCCTGAGGTATCTCATTCCAGGCAACCACCAATTCATCTCGAAGTGCTTCTAGAGTCTGAGGAGGACGTTGCAAATTGAGCAATCTCCTGCCCATCATATCCCACACGTGCTCAATTGGGGATAAGTCGGGAGATCTTGGTGGCCATGGTAATAATGTGACATCATTATGTTGAAAGAAGTCTATTGTGACTCTTGCAACATGTGGTCGGGCATTATCTTGTTGGAAAGTTGGATCTGCCAGGGTGTCAAGATAGGGTAAAAGATGGGGTTCTAGAACTTCGTGGATATAACGCTGCGCGTTCATGTTACCTCTGATGAAGATTAAAGGTGACCTGGAACCATAAGCGATAGCACCCCAAACCATAACTCCAACAGTGTGATGAACATGTCTTTCAACAAAAAACTGTGGATTCCTCCTTTCACCACGTCGCCTTTTAACCCTGGCACGACCATCGTGCATGCCTAAACAAAATCGAGACTCGTCACTAAAGACAATACTGTTCCATTCCTGATCCCAGAGTGACCGTTGTCTGCACCACTCAAGGCGATTACGTCGGTGTTCTCGAGTTAAAGGGAGGACCCAGTGTGGTCGGTATGAAAACAAGCCAAAACTTCTCATTCGACGGTAAACACTTCGCATGCCAATAGGTCTTCCGTGTTCTGCAAACCATTCATTTGCAATGGACCTGGTAGTGGAGAAACGGTCCCTTAAGGCCAATAATCTTAGGCGGCAAGAACCAAAATCCGCCAACGTTGATTCTTTACTGCGGCTGAAATATTCATTTTTAGAGCGTTAGTGAATTAAAAAAAAGCAGTATAAAAATCGGAATGTCCAACTGATAAGGCTGAAAATTTTTTCACTTGTTATTTACAGTAAGATAAATACATTCACCAACTTTTATTAAAATAAAACCATTTAAACTGGGTGTTCACATTTATATGTCACTTAGTATATAAGCAAGCGTACGTTATTTAATTTTTTTTATTTGTAGTAAATACTTTGTGTAGTTGACTTTCAATGATTTGAAAGATAGGTTGTTAAAATGGAAGGGAATAACATTATATATTCTATAACTATTAAATGTGAATGATCACTCAAATATAGAAGTTCGATGTAGAGAGGGAGAGATACGGAGCTTACAATGAGTATTTAAATTATGGTCATAATGTCTAAATTTTATCCTATTCCATAAAAATGTGGACGCGTTTTGGTATAGAAAATTTTGTGAAATAATGTTGCTGAATGAAGTTTTCTTCTGAAGGCCATATTGTTGCTAATTAATATAAGCGTACGTTATTTCATTTTTCAGTTTGTAGTACCTAAATACTTTGTGTAGTTGACTTTCAATGATTTGACTGATAGGTTGTTAAAATGGAAGGGAATAACATTATATATTCTATAACTATTAAATGTGAATGGTCACTCAAATATAGAATTTCGATGTAGAGAGGGAGAGATACGGAGCTTACAATGAGTATTTAAATTATGGACATAATGTCTAAATTTTATCCTATTCCATAAAAATGTGGACGCGTTTTGGTATAGAAAATTTTGTGAAATAATGTTGCTGAATGGAGTTTTCTTCTGAATGCCATATTGCTGCTAATTAAAATAAGCGTACGTTATTTCATTTTTCAGTTTGTAGTACCTAAATACTTTGTGTAGTTGACTTTCAATGATTTGAAAGATAGGTTGTTAAACTGGAAGGGAATAACATTATATATTCTATAACTGTTAAATGTGTATGATCACTCAAATATAGAAGTTCGAGAGATACGGAGCTTGCAATGAGTATTTAAATTATGGACATAATGTCTAAATTTTATCCTATTCCGTAAAAATGTGGACGCGTTTTGGTATAGAAAATTTTGTGAAATAATGTTGCTGAACGAAGTTTTCTTCTGAAGGCCATATTGAGCCCACTAACTTCCTCTAGCTTGTGTGATACCCTGTCAAACTTTCGGATGCCGAACCTGAGACAGGACTTTTGGATTTTCTGAATTCGTCCACAATCTATTTGCGTTAAACACGACAACGCAGTAATTGGATAGGGACAAAACTAGAAACTCAGTGAGAATAATCTTCATTCTAGTTGGCAGAATATGGTGCTGGGGAACAAAAATTTCAACCGACCAAATGCCCTTTTTACGTGATAGCAGAATCTTAATTCGTGTGTACATTACTAGCATCTAGACTTAATCCTCCAAATGTCGACCTGACATCAAAGTGTTGCATAGACTGTTGTTGAGTGAGTCACTGGACCAAATGAAACAATCTCTCAAATTCTATCTTGATAATTTAAATTTTTATAAAAATTAATGGTATCTCGTGGTGTAATCGCGCCAGTTTGCGAGTCGCCCTTAATGTATCTAATGTACATGGAAGTTGAAATTGAGTAATAAACACGGAGGACCCAAAAAAGACTTGCTTATCGGGTTTCCAATATCGTTCCACTAAAAGGAATAATGACGTCACTAAAATGGAAAATTTTAAAAAATTATACAAACGGTGTTTTTGTTATATGGGAAAAACTTTTCAACAACCCATATTTTAGATAAATCATTAAAAACGTTGCTCTGTAAAGTCAAATGCATGAGTATACCAAAAGCAACAAATCCGTGTCGTGTTTTATTCATATCTGATTTCTTTGTAGACGAAAAAAACGTTACGGTCGAAAATACACTCCATTCCACCTAAAAAGTAAGAGCTCAGGGACTTTATCAAGAGGAAGCTATTACTTTTTCCGACCGTTTGATGCATAATTTGCCTCTATAAACGCAAACTCTGTTGCTTTAATCTTTAAGCCATTTAAAGAGGCGTCTAAATGTGGTCTAGAACTGGCTATTACTAAAGTACAAGGGAAGTTAAAATTCTACGAGTCTTAACAAATCTGTATTTAAACTACACATTCTTATTACGGATTTATTTTTGTCGATGAAAAATCTTATTGGTTTCTCGTCTCCTAGGCCTATAGTCGCAGTTGTCGAAAGAACGTAGTCTATAATGAAGTCATTACCATAAGCCAGCGTGAACACCTGTCACACCACGTCTTCGCTAAGTCGTAAAGAAACATATTATTCCAGTCGTTTATAATGAAGTACTTGATATCAATATTAATTATTTATTTGTATATCTGGAAGCATGGCTGAACACACAAGATCTCCCTAACGCAGCGTTTCCAGTTATAGTGGGAATTTATGTTCGCATAAAGTTGATAATGAAGAACGAGAATATAGAATCGTTGTAAAAATGGTGATAAGCCCGATCCATTATATTTTACGATGGCAATTCAAGCGAGTATTCCCTGCTGAATGTCGTTCTCTCTCTTTTAATATCGCAATGCTATAACGAAATAGAATATCTAGCCTGCGATCGTATCCCTAGACAAGCCAGCGTAAAAATTACATGCTTCTGCTTGCTGCTTCTTATATTGGATTTTTGCCTTCGCTTTGCTCTCTCACTCTGTGTAATGTATCGGAAATTGCTTTCTGCAATTTCCCATGTTGTGTGGAGTACTTCGAACTGAGACCTCTTCAAACACGTCATCTTATGACGTTATGACGTACATCTGATATTCTCAGATACGAATCATTGAGTAGGGAAAAGAAGGAGACGTTTGTGCTTTCTTTCCTGGATTTTAGTTTTAACCTTTGCCAATCCAAATGACTCCGTATAAAAATAAAAAAATCTAATAAGTGTCTCGTTCATCTATATCAGAGTTCCCCAAACTTTTTTGTGTCGTAGACCGCTTGCCATGTTTTTGCGTATTGGGTAGACCCCCTACTTATCTGATATTGATTTCCTGTAAATTTCTAACTGTAGTAGAGTTTAGTGGTAAAAACTTAAAGTAAAAACACATGTTAATTTATACATTTATTAATTGAATTTAAATTAAAACTACTCAAAATAAAATTTTGTATCTGTCAAAATATACGTAACATTAAATAAACAGGTGTCTGACCAATAAGTGCCCGCATTGAAAAAAAATAAGAGGGATAAAATAAAAAAAAAGTGAAAAATATTAAAAAAAAAGTTTTTTACTTAAAATAGGACAATAAGCGAGTTCGATTATTAATTATAACATAAAAGTATGTTCTACAATAATTTCACTGTCAGTTTGATTAAATTCCGCTTCTTATACGTTTAAGTCATCTAAAAATAGGCAAAAAATTAACGAATTTTAGTGTGTACCTATCCATGAATTTTCAGAATAATTTTAAAAAAAATATTTCCTATAAAGGGGGGTTCTTTAAAAAAATCAATTCGGGCACTTATTCCCAATGCGGGCACTTATTGGTCAGACACCAATAAACATAAAATAAACTATAAATAAAATAACATAAGCAATAAGTGCTTTAATAATAAATTATCAACATTTGGCGTCAATTTTGTAAGGGTTAATCTTAAATCCCCTCGGCTAATGATGTCCAGTCTGTTTCTTTTTTTCGTTAGGAGATTGGTAACAGCGCTGAACCCCCTTTCCACTAGGTATGACGATGGAAAGGAAATTAAAAATTTCCTCGCTATATTCCATAATACAGGATAAGTAACGGGTATGTTGTTTTGCAGCCAGGATTGCTGATATCCGTTTTTAAACTGAACCTCAAGTTCTTCGTTTGTACTTAGTTCATTCAGTTCCTCTTGTATTATGACATTCGTTTCTTCTATGTCACCATATGGATTAATTATCCACGGTGGTATTACCATAGTCAAAATATCCTCAAACCTAGATACAAAATCTGAATAGAGGGCATTTAAATGTTGAACGTAAGTTGAAACGTCGTCTTCCTGGCAGCTTGTCTGTGACAAATTGGGGAACCGAGAAAATTCGCTCCGTCCAATATTTTGCTTCATTAGTTTAACTGTGGAAGAAACGCTGATAAGATGGACTTTGTTTTATTCAAATTTAAACTGTCGCCTTGTAATTGCAAATTAATCATATTAAATTTTGTAAACAAATCTGTTAAATAGGCGATAATAGTTGTCAAACATAAGCCTTTCGACAGCCAGCCTACTTCAGTGTGAAGGAGTAATTGATGAAAGTGTTCGTCATTTTCTTACCACAACTGCGCATTCAACGCGTTGCTTCGGATTCGGTTTACTGCATGAATGACTAAATGAAGTGATTCATGCAATCTAACACTCAAATTTTTAGCAACTAAATGTTGTCGATGGATGACGCAATGTATTGCTAACACTCCTGACACATTTTGTTTTAAATAGCTTATAAATCCACGATAACGTCCAACCATGCCAGGTGCTCCATCTGTAGCTACTGATATTATATTTGATAAAGGAATTGCTTTTTCAATGAAGTAATCCTTCAAAACATGAAATATTGATTCACCTTTAGTGTCGGTTATCAAAGTTCTTGCGAAGAGCAGTTCTTCGTAGATTTCTTGATTCATAATAAAACGAACATATGTCAATAATAATGCTGCATTATCAGGTAAAGTTGACTCGTCCAGTTGTATAGAGAAATGGGTCGTTTGCAAATAATTACATAAGAAGCTTTCAATATCAGAACTCATTTCATCAATACGTCTTTCAACAGTATTGTTGCTTAAGGGAATTCTTTTAATGATATCAGATGCAGGTTTGTGTAAAACAGCTTTTAAAACCTCTTCAACGCCTGGAAAAATTAACTTATCTCCGATAGTATGCGGTTTTCCGGATTTTGCTATAAGTAACGAGATATTGTAAGACGTCCGCAAACCATCCTCATTTCTTTGTGACGTCAAAGCGAACATTCTGTCCAGTGTAGGTCTCTTCTGAAATTTATCTTTGACTGTTTGAAAGTATTTCAAACCTTTCTCTGTTTTATCAGGGTGGCATCTTCTCAGATGATCTTGCAGTTTAGCCATCTACAACATTTCATAGCGTCATTGCCCAAAAGTTTGTTGCATAAAAGGCACATAGGCGATTGTTTGTCCGGTAATGATGGAATGAAGCCAAATTTCAAATAATCAACACTGTACTGTCTACATTTCTTTTTAGATTCGGACATGGCATCAGTCATCTGTGGGCAAAATTAAATTATTTAAATAAGACAGAAAATCCAGCAGCTGTATATTAAAAATATTTTTTGATTTTTCCGAAAACATTCCATAATTCGAACATCTTCTTGCAACAATTAGCTCGAATTACGGAGATTGCACTGTAATTACTCGTATATTACCGATTGCTAAAACTTTCAAAAAGAAACTATTGAGGAGTACTCGTGTAATTTTGCATGATTGAATATTTAACTACTAATAGCTAAAGTCATGATTGGCGTAATTTATCTATCTTTGCTAACTACGAGTACAAGACTAAAATTTAATAAAAAATAATGTACTTACTTTTCTCCAGCACTCTCAAACAAAATAGTACTGACTCACTATAATTTGTGTGATATACTATCTGTTTATATTTTTAAAATATTTTCTTAGCACTTTCCTTCTCACGATTCAGGAAACGAATAAACGTATTTGTCCCACATTCGTATATATAGAGTGACGAATTGAACAAGTCAGTGCAAGGTAGCGAAGCTCTGAGACTGCGACTCTCAGGTTTTTACAAGTTCAAAATGTATTGCGACCACAAAGCGAATACCAACATCCTACAACTTACACAATTTTATAAACATATATAATAAATTTTTTACTTCATAGGTACTTTTATAAATAATGTATATGTTTTGATATTATAAGATAGTATGATGTAAGTAAATAGGTACCATCAGTGTATGTGTTGAGATCCACTATGGTGGACCCCCATATTTATTTCATGGACCCCCAAATTTTTTTTCGCTGACGTAGACCCCTTGCTGGTTGTCATAGACCCCTAGGGGTCGATATAGACCACTTTGGGAATCAATGATCTATATGGTACACAGGCCGTTGAAGAGACCATAAATTCCAAAGAAAAAAAATTACTCAGATACAGTAGCGGCAAAAACTAAAACTCTGTCACCCGAAAGGCTGACAAATGAATAGATGAATTTCGTTGTCAATTAGCAACACTTAGAAAAAAGCAACCAAGGTCAGAAAATGTTTTTTTAAACTTATGTGATCTGATCCCCTTGAAATCAGCGAGCATCTGCAGAATGAGTTTCAAAAGCTAGTTTGACAACAAACGACATATAACAAGGTTGCTCATGGATTTTCATGACTACACTGGAAAGGGGCATTTCAATAAACAAATAGCACATATAATTTTGAAGCTATACTCGATTGTATATTATGGTTACTTGTAATTCCACTGAATCCAAGAGATAGCAAGAAACCTATATTTGTTGGGGAGTTAAACTAAGCAGGAGATTTATTAATAACCTGCCCAGACAAAGGAAAAGCTCATTTTGAACATGCTTTACACTCATAAAAAGATATCCATTGGATCATTCACATCTGATTGGAAATAAAACAGCGCTGATTATCTTCTCAGTATAAGACACTCACTTCTTTGATTTGAACATATTAGTCAAATATATTGCTTATTTAAAGGGTATCCGTTCCTCTTGAAAAAAAAATAAAAACCGTTCTATTGTCCGAGAAAATTAATGTAATAATTGAAGAATGCAATTTAGCAATAAATATCTAGTTGCTCTGGAATATGTCACTGGTTTTTGACATCTGACAAGTCTCTGTTATTCAAATCTCTTCACTGTGACATCTTTTTCATTATTTAGTTTTTACAACCTTATTAATAATGGTAAATTATTTAAATGCAGAAATGGAGGAAATGCATTACGTAAATGGCCTTGATGACGGTAATGGTGAGCAAGCCAGACGGAATTATCACCAGAGATATCCCGATCGTGCTTTGCCAGATAGTCGAAACTTTTCTAATATTCATCGTCGTCTTGTTGAAACTGGTTCTGTCCGAAAAGGGACATTTGAAGGTAGACTTCTAAGTGAGAGAACACTTGAAATTGAGGAAGCAGTGCTGCACGAAGTCGAAGAACATCCTGAAATGAGTACGAGGAAGATCGCTAGACACTTAAATATTTGCCTTCAAATTGTTTGGACAATTTTATCCTTACCATATTTTAAGAGTACAAGCATTACTTCCCATTGATTTTAAAAGGCGTGTGACCTTTGGTCAGTGGTATCTTCAAAAAATTACACAAAATGCGCAATTTGACTCAATGATTCTGTTCACGGACGAAGCTAATTTTTCTCGAAATGGCCATCAGAATTTCCACAATAATTAATCATTTATGGGCAGAAGAAAATGCCGTAACCGAAACCCATTCCCAACACCAATTTTCGGTTAACGTATGGGCAGGAATTATTGACAAACCACTTTATTGGCCCATTCTTCATGCCGGGGCGACTTGACGGACAGACTTATCTTAATTTTCTTCAAGAACAGTTGCCTTTGCTACTTGATGATGTTCCGTTAGTAATAAGAAACAATATGTGGTACATGCATGATGGTGCACCAGCGATTTCAATGCAGCGGTTCGTAATTATTTACAAACTGTTTATCCAAATCGTTGGAATGTACACAAGTCCCATTAACACTGTTGAGGAATTACGAGAAAGAACAGTTACAGCTTGTGATAGAATAGGAAACACTCCAGGGATATTTCAACGAGTGCGCAATTCCATGAGAAGGAGGGCGGAAGCATGCATACTAAGTGAAGGGGGCCATTTTCAACAATTTTTGTAATCATTTCGTTGGTTTTAAGGTTATGTTTATGTTGTCAGTTGTTGTTCATTACCCCTAATGTTTTTAATGTTTCCAATTAAATTAATAATAATTTTGCAAGTTAGACAATAGAAGGGTTTTTATTTTTTTACTCAAAAATGGCGCATCGAAGGAAAGCAACTCAAGAGAGATCATTTTAAATTGAACAGGATATTCAAAAATAATTTTTATTTGCCAAAAAACCATTGACGTATCATTATTTTTTAAGAAATACCCATACTGTTAAACATAAAAATTATTTTTGCATTGAAAAATATGCAGCATTATTAACTTTCACTACTTACTAAATATCAGTAAAATATCTGAATGGGTTCTAAAAATATTAATTAATTTCCATTTTTTTCCTAAAACTTCAACACCCCGAGTTTTTGTAAGGAAACATTTTTGGACCATAGTTTATAAAGCAAACTAACATTAACTTTTCATCTAGATTCACACCCTTAGATATTCGCAGATTATTAATGAACACCCTGTATATCGCGTACACATCGCGTATAACATTCATATGGTAATCGTTCAGTCTAGGTCTAGGTACGAGTATATTGTTTTTATGATACGACTAGATAAAAAATGATATATTTATTTATCATATAAATCGAAAATGTCTCGTTCCATCTTTCTCTTCCAAAAACGTACGTTCACTCAGTCATCTAAGGTCTATGTGGGATGAATACGGTATAGTCAGCAAGACAAATTATCACGTCCGTCAATCTTAGATACCTAAGATACCAGTTCAAGGGAAGAAGACTCTTTAGAAATATTTCAAAACAACTATTTCCTTACTGCAAGATAATTGTTATTGATCCAAAATTACTTCTTTGGAACACTGGAACTTTTTGAAACCGAATGACAAGAGCAACAATAGCATTATGAAAATTGGAACCAAATTATGTTATTTAGTAAAAAAGGATATAAGGTTACAATTATTGAAGGATCATTGTGAAACGGCTTATAATGAATATACTAAGTGACATATAAATCCGAACACCCAGTTTAAATCGTTTTATTTTAGTAAAATTTTGTATAAGTACTTAATGAAGCATAATAAGTAAATGATAAAAATTTCAAAATGATTGCACTGCTTTAAAGCCCGTTGACCTTTAATAATGTGTGGATGCACCCTGATGTGCTACGCATTCTCCAACGCGCCTAGGCATGCTTCTGATCAGGTGGTCAATGTTCTCCTGTGGTATCTCATTCCAGGCAACCACCAACTCCTCTCGAAGTGCTACTAGAGTCTGAGGAGGACGTTGCAAATTGAGCAATCTCCTACCCATCATATCACACGTGCTCAATTGGGGATAAGTCGGGAGATCTTGGTAGCCATGGTAACAATGTAACATCATTATGTTGAAAGAAGTCTATTGTGACTCTTGCAACATGTGGTCGGGCATTATCTTGTTGGAAAGTTGGATCTGCCAGGGTGTCAAGATAGGGTAAAAGATGGGGTTCTAGAGCTTCGTGGATATAACGCTGCGCGTTCATGTTATCTCTGATGAAGATTAAAGGTGTCCTGGAACCATAAGCTATAGCACCCCAAACCATAACTCCAACAGTGTGATGAACATGTCTTTCAACAAAAAACTGTGGATTCCTCCTTTCACCACGTCGCCTTCTAACCCTGGCACGACCATCGTGCATGCCTAAACAAAATCGAGACTCGTCACTAAAGACAATACTGTTCCATTCCTGATCCCAGAGTGACCGTTGTCTGCACCACTCAAGGCGATTACGTCGGTGTTCTCGAGTTAAAGGGAGGACCCAGTGAGGCCGGTATGAAAACAAGCCAAAACTTCTCATTCGTCGGTAAACACTTCGCATGCCAATAGGTCTTCCGTGTTCTGCAAACCATTCATTTGCAATGGACCTGGTAGTGGAGAAACGGTCCCTTGAGGCCAATAATCTTAGGCGGCGATCTTCACGGTCTGTTGTTCTACGGCGGCGTCCAGTGCCCCTTGCTCTTTGCGTACGGCCTTCTCGAAGCCATGCCTGACAACACCTAACCACAGTGTCTACACTTCTTTGCACTCCAACTGCAATTGCCCGAAAAGAAAGTCCAGCTTCCCGAAGTCCCACTATACGGCCCCTATCAAACTCACTAAGTTGACGAAATCGTACAGGTCTCCGTACTCTAGGCATCGTAACCGATCGTAAAGGATGTCAAGAACCAAAATCTGCCAACGTTGATTCTTTACTGCGGCTGAAATATTAATTTTTAGAGCGTTAGTGAATTAAAAAAAAACAGTATAAAAACCGGAATGTCCAACTGATAAGGCTGAAAATTTTTTCACTTGTTATTTACAGTATGGTAAATACATTCACCAACTTTTATTAAAATAAAACCATTTAAACTGGGTGTTCGGATTTATATGTCACTTAGTATAGCTGATCAATTAGCGAAAGACACTATCGCTATTGGCTACGAAGTAGATATTTCTTCAACCATTCAAGACAATCATGCTATTTTGAAACCACACCCAAAAATGGGATGGCATGTGGAATCGGGTGAGCACTGTCATAGTAATCCCAGAAGATGCATTTAAATACATCCAACTCTCCCACAATATTATTGGCATAACAACTTCAAATATTCTCAGGAAGCATAAATATCTATTATTATAAGAATTAAACTTCACACATGGCTAGACTGAATCTAAAACCATCCACGTTGTGTAATGATTGTGTAGACCACGGAGAATTAGATCATGATTTTGGCTGCTTTAGATTTCACTCTAACCTAGTTTACATTGATTGATCTTTTCAAATGTGGTTTATCTTCTTCCTTAAACACATCGCATACATTTAGTTGAATTCGTTAAAAATTCTGGTATGGTATTCTAGGGTTTGTGTTTAGATACCATCTGTCTTACACCTATGTTTTATATTACATCCTTAGCTACCAAGGCCTAAGTGTTGACATTAGTGTCCTATACAAGGTACGTTTTACGTATCTCCAAAGCTGAACCTTTTTATCACTATTTGAGCAGCTAGATTATAAAATTAAAATTGCTACACATAGCGTAGTGCCAAAAACATCTTCTTTGGGGTACAATTTATGAATCTACTGGGTGTAACTTTGGGGTGTGCTGCTGAAGGTTTACCAAGAGTTTCGGATAGTCTCATGCAGCAAATTTTGACAACGAAGGAACGCGTAGATATTAAACTCATACTACCTAGTCATAAACTTAAAGCATACAATGCGCATATTAAAGTTGACTCTCTCTACCGAAGTTCCATTCCGGATCGGTCCGAAAGTCTAACGTATAAAGTTACCTATATAGAGATGCAGTTTGCGTCGTGTTTCGCGTCGTATCGTCCTCAAAGCATCCTACATTTTATTACGATGTCACATGAATTCAGAATAGCGGTAGCGTTTTAAAGCTTTACAGAGGCGGAGATTGTGACGTTATACCATTTTGGCAGTGACGACGTGATGTTCTGCAGTGCTAGACTTTTCCTTTGCTGTACTTACGTGGTAATGAAATTTGTTTTTTTACACCGAAGCAACCTCGCAGGCAAAACTTGCCAACGCACCGTAGATGCTGTGATGAGCTTAAAGAAACTTTGTTAAACCAATTTTTGAACTACCTTAAGTTAGTATAAATGAGAAAAGCCTGATCATGCAGATTGTTTCACAATCCTTATACCCTAGGGGCAACTGACCGGCCGGTCGGTGCGAAAGGGTCCCGATATTTGCAAATTTCAGGCTGATAAAACATGATATAACTCAAAAGCAAGCACAATTTGATGCAAATAGATGTTTGTGACATAACCTCAAAATAGAGCGCTGACACGGAGAAGTAGAAAACTATGACAATCAAGGAGGCCATAAAGGCGCCCTACAATTGTAGGGACGACTAACTGCGACTGACGATACGGGCCTTAGAACCTTTTTTTGGGGGGATTGGTTAGACATCAGCAAATTTCCAGTTTTCTGGGGTTATTTTTTTTTTCAAAGTTTATTCAAAGTTTATTCAAATTCAAAATTCAAAAACCAATACAACTTGAAAGTTGAAGTTGAAAAAATAACCTTCAGTACAATTTAAATAAAGAAAGCTTCAAGAATACATGAGCTTGTATACTCTTGCTACCCTGAATAACCAAGATTGCAACAGAAATCTGAGCAAAGGTACTAGCATCAGATCTAGAACCAGCAAGTAACGGTATATGAATTGTGAAAATTTCGTATACTTTCGTAAAGGGTAAATGTCTGAATCTTGTCGTCACAAATCCTAAATTACGTGTCTGCATAAACAAATCTAAAATTCATAACAATAGTACAGAAGCATACTAAAAACACTCAGAAGTATAAATATAGAGTACATAAAATATGAATATCTAAAATATGATAATATAGGGATATTTTGAGTAAGGTCAAACTATGTTGTTTAAACAATAAGAATTTTGCGTAAAGGTTAAGCAGAGAAACAAAAGTACTACAATTTAGTACAAAAGAATTTACTGCAAAAAATAGACACCTAAGCTATAAGCTTGTGTGTGTCATACAATATACAAATTCAATGCATGGCTAATGGTTATAAGGTATATTATGAGCAAATGTTTATAAAAAAAAAAGAAATAAAAAAAACATTAGATAGAAACGAAATTACTGAGTTGAGTCAAGCTACCGTCGATGCAAGCATGTCAAAGTTATTTAAGATGAACTTCTTAATTCTTTTTTTGAAACTATACTTCGAGAGGATTTTATATTCTAGGGGTAATTTGTTATACAACCTAATACCATCAAACTTTATGCATTTTTGGCAAACAGATTTATTCACTCTGGCATAGGTGTAATTTATATTTATTTTAGTTCTTGTTTCATAAGCGTGGCTGGTTGGAACATTGTTTCGGGAGTGAACAAATTTTAGAGCAGCAAAAATATATAAACCTCTAACATTCAAAAGATCATTTTCAATGTAAACAAATCTGCAACTTGACCTACATGGGATTCGAAAAATAGTCCTGACAATATAATTTTGCGTGGTTTGTAGTATTTTTAAAGTACTAGTGTATGCGGCTCCCCAAATACTTATCCCGTAAGTTAGTAGAGACCCCACAAACGAGTTATATATTGAGAGAAGACTCTTTCTGCTTAAAATATTCCTAAGAATGAAAAACTTATAATTCTCCTTAATTTCGATGCCAAAAGCTCGGCATGCCATTTTAAATTACTGTCAATAGTGAATAGTGAATTCTTGTTCGACATTGTTTCAACTAATTCATCTTTGCAATTGCCTTTCTTCTCGTGCTTCCCCAAACAACTTGCTTAATTGATGAAATAAGCTTACTCCTACAAAATTATACATTGCTTTTCAAGAAGCCTTCCCCATTAATTTTTAACGGATCAAGTTGGTAAGCTGAAAATCCTGTTAAAGTTGGTGATAAAGGTGACAGTTAAAATTTTCAAGGTGGCGCACTACTGCCATTTTAAAACGTTTTATCAATAAAATAGGGAGTCTTGTTATACTTTATTTTGAGCTCGTTCTGACATCTTTATGAACCTAAAGTATGAATTTGATGGTGGACTGGTGGGCTGCCGATGTAGCGTTTTCATACACATTGAATGTTTTATAACCTAATAACTAATCATCTCAATAGAATCTCTCCTCTCTTAGAACGATCTTCCTGAACTATGTAACATTCCATTAGAAAAAACACAATGTTTCACATGTCTTATAGAATGCTCCATATTGTAACACATATTAGTATAGAACCTGCCAAGAAAAGAAGATTGATATAAATTATTATACAGTGCTCTGATGATTGGCTGTTGAGTAGGGGATTAAATGTAGTATTTGTGACCCAGAGTTTTTCTTTTCGCAGGCTAAAAACTGTTTATAAAAAGGTAAGTATTGAAAGTATCTGATTGAAATTTGGCATGAATGTACTTGACTATTTTTAAAATGAGCCCAAATATCTGAATCGTACATAACTGTCACAGTTTTTCTTTGTTTTAATCACATAACCACGAGCACGAGTGTTGCCTAATTTTGGATAGGCAAAAAATCTTAAAACTGTATATCCAAAATTAGGAACCCAATTATACGAGTTTCAGGGTGGCGCATCGAAAACGAAACAGACGCATTTACTGGCAGTTCAGTTTTTTAATTTGGAAAAAAGCTCAGACCCGTCGATTTTGTTTTCGAGGGGGACACAAGTTTGCCAAAAAATCACGTTAACGCGTGCAGCCCCCTGGGCGGGGGTGACACCAACCCTAAAATCTTAAATGGAAAGGGGGATCGAGTGATACCTTATTTTAAAGGTCTTTCAATTCTCTTTATAATGATGTAAAATACATGAGCTTCAGTTCAGTAGTTTTGAAAATTTGTTGATTTAAAGCTTAAAGTAGACTTTAATAGGTACATTAGATTAGTTTGTACTACTTTCAGAAGAAATTTGACTAAAAGAATTTACTTAATAAGTAAATGCTTTTCTTCACTACGCCCATGGTTTGTTTATCATTTTGTTGTTAAAAATAGCTATTGGAGCGTTTTTTTGTGGCAAAAAAGTTATTTCTTGAAGAAAGATAAGGAAATATCTCGTACTTATTTTAAATAGGAATTTAGTACTTAGTTTGCGATTGATTTGACCAAACTTTGTTGCTAGAATAACTTGTAACGCTTTATTGCATAAATTAACCATGGTATATTCCACAGCAGAAAGAGTTGAAATTATCGAAATATTTTTCGGAAATAATCAGTGCGCTAATAAAACAGCAGAAATATTTAATGAGCAACATGGGAACAGTAACGTGCATCGAAAATATGTTCTAGAACTTATAGTTAAATTTCGGAAAACTGGGTCAGTCGCCAATAAAAAACGCAAAATGGAAAATCCGATAAGGAACGAAGCAATAGAAGTGGGGGTTTTAGGGCAAGTTTATGAATATCCTACGTTAAGTACCCGCAAATTGGAGACTGTGTGTGGTGTTAGTCGATGTACTGTCCAACGGATTCTAAAGGCCCATAGTTTTCATCCGTATAACATTCACCTGGTACAAGAACTTAATGAAGACGATTTTGATAGGCGATTACAATTTTGTGAAGATATGAGTGAACGAATTATAAACGATGAACATTTTCTATTCAACACTTGCTTTTCCGACGAATGTTCCTTTTTTTTAAATGGCGTAGTAAATCGTCAAAAATTAAATGTTTGGGCTAGTATTTTTGGGGATCATTTACATGGTCCTTTTTTCTTACCTGGAAATTTGACCGGTGAAATGTATTTGGAATTACTGGAAGACGCCATAGATCCTGCATTAACAGCCATAATTGAAAATCAGAATGATCGGCGGTACATTGCGACAGACTGACATACCATTTAGCTATAAGAAATAACATTTCCCGTCCCTTTTCAAAAAGAGGCGGTAATGCCGGTAAAAAATGGTTCCCAATTTTTTTGAGACGTCATCCCAATCTATTTAAGAAAACCGCAGGGGATTTCAAAAAATAGAACAAAAGGTTTTACCCCTGAAAATATTAACAGCTTCTTTAATATCC